ARAAAAGAGTAGAGGAAGAGAATTCCGTTTCAGCTAAAACAGACCAAGCCAACGCCCTGCCTATGTTCGGTTTTTTTTCTTTATTATTTTTTTAAGGGGGGGGGTTTCCCGAACAGAGTCCGAATAAACTACCGGCCCGGAGTTCGCTGTGATCAACCACAAGCTTCAGATTTTTAAAGTAAATTTATTTGATCGCCAGATTACTGACGGTCCTGAAGCATTCGGTGATAACTACATAAATTAGAAGAATGTGTGTTACGTAAAGAAATAGCTAAAAAACGAAAAGAAAAGACCACCAAGCTTGAAATAACCACAGGGAAAGAAAAATTACGCTATAGTTCTGGATAGGGCGCCTAAAAGCAGCAAATTAAATTTCTCCATAGGTCTCCGATTAACAGTCTTTGTTTATCGCAGAAATGTCTCCGCGTGCGTATTTATTAACTGATAAAACTGACGACTTTATGCACGTAACGCACGGTAGTATGCAGTTGGCGACATTCGCTTTGGCATGGACGGGTTAGGTTTTCAAACAGGTGTTCTGAAGGAAAGCGTGATAATTTAAATTACCTCGGGATCCGCCCATACATGAGGATTACGATGCAAGGCAAATATATGAGTAGTAACCCATGTTCCTGAAAAATAAGCAAACAAACAAGTTCAATAAAAAACAAAACATGAACAACAGTGACGATGAACTGTCTCTAACGAGAAAATCTGTATATTTCTTTCCACTATAGTTCTCTTCACCAAACCATTTTGTGTTACTCGTGGCATGCCCCAGCAATTTGAATGGATACATCAAATGATTAAAGTGCCCCTAAGATCAAAATTTTCGTTCATCATTTTTTTTTTTCATTTTCGTGTTCAGTGTGTCTCCTTCACCTACTCTGCCAAATTTCAGTCTAGACCGAGAACCAGAAATATCTTTTTTTGGGCCGTTAAACTCGCGATTTCGCGTCCGCCATTATTTGACCATTTTCCGGAAATTGATCGCAGGACTCAGATGAAGTGACGTCAAAGGCTCAACGCGAAAATCTAACATGGCAAAATGTCAGGTAAACATAACAGAATGCTTTACTCTATTCTTACAAAAACTAAACAAAAATGGCGAGGCATCGATGCGTAATTCAAAGCTGAAGTAATCGTGCAGACCATGCTGTAGGTATTTCTCTGTATCGGAGCTTTGCAAATAGATCTGAGCGGGAAAAACGGTTGCGAATTGTGCGAACTCGCCGAGTAAACTACAATCCTGCACGAATATTTGTGATCTACTCCGAACACTTCTCGGAGGACTGTTTCGAGAGATCTGTGTACCTTGAAGGATCTAGGCGAAGAATTCTGTCGGATTCAGTGCCTACCGTTCAAAAGAAGGGACAAGAAGAACCGTCCTCTGTGCGATCTCGACGAAAGTGAAGTCTACAAACCTCGACGGGTTTTGTCACCTTTACATATGCGCTGATCACTATCCACCTTTAACAACTCTCTAGCAGAACACCTTAAACAAAGGAAAGTTCTCGGTGAACATTGTGAATACGAATGATAAAATAGCCGAATTGAGGAATTAGATTTCTGACCTCAAAGAGCTCACTTTCACAAAAGAGATGAAAAATATAATTGCGTGCTCTGACTCTAAAAAAAAGCTAGCTTTAATAACAGAGAAAGTAGAACAAACAGCTGAAGACAGATAGAGTGTAGAAACACTTTAAAATGTAGGCTTGCAGCGAAAAAAACTGAGAACATGAAAATTTCTTTAAAATCCTCTCAAACTAACAACCATCTGACAGCCAAGTCAGCGTGCTATCAAAGGGTCCTAAATTCATCCCAACACCCGTGACAAATGAATGTGAAATCAGGCCAAGTTTTGCGAGATTTATTCGCAAGACCAATGCGCCTCCGTTACACCTTTCACGGACAAAACAAAGAACCACTACCGTTTCATAA